CTTCTGGACCAACAGCCAGTGCTCTTAACCCCTGAGCCATCTCTTCTGCCCCCTCAACCTCCACTATTATCCCATTCAAAAAATTGAAGAATCTTTCTCAGAAACAAATCTGACCATCTTGTTACCCTGTTTAGGCCTCTTCTGCAGCTCCCTGTTGCTCCAAGATAAATTCCAGGCTCCTTACCAGAGCTCCATGTGCTCTGGCTCTCACCAGTGGCCAGGCCTTGCATAAGAACACAACCTCACATCTCCAGTTCGCTCGGCCAGGCGTGCATGCTGTTACTTCAGTCTGGAACACTATCTCCCAACTTTCTCTGCTCTCCCATGAGGCATCCCTCCTACTTTGTGTCATGGCCTACTGTGAACATACAAGATTGAGTCTGTTGCCATTCCTGGCTTCCTCTGGACAGCTACCTTTTCCCTGTTCAGCCCACTGCAATGCCTGTGGCTTCCCTCCGTGTCAATGTCTGTTCTAAGCTATCACTGTGCTGTCTTCTGGATCACTAGTCAAGAGCCTTCACTGGGCCCTGCCCAGTGCCCACTGATTACCTCCGTATGCCCAGAACAGAACTGGCACAGTTCAGTGAAAACTAGTTGAATGACTCTGTTGAAAATATTGACTGGCAGCCAGGCATGTGGCAGTATTAATCCCAGTATTCTGGGAGGCAGAGGCAATCAGATCTCTGTGTGTTTGAGGCCAGCCTGGGCTACAAAGTAAGTATAGAACAGACAAGATTACACAGAGGAACCATATCATGAAAAAGAAAGAAAGAAATTGAAAAAAGGAAAGAAAGAAAGAAAGAAAGAAAGAAAGAAAGAAAGAAAGAAAGGAAGAAAGAAAGAAAGAAAGAAAGGAAGAAAGAAAGGAAGGAAGGAAAGAATGAAAAAAGGAAAGAAAGAAATAAAATGTTGATTGGCTTAAAGATGTTGGAGGCAATATCCTAGGAGAGAATCTTTGAGAAAATATTTGAATATACCCAGTGGAAGTAAAGAGTCTTGGAATGTTCTGGGACAGACCTGTCCCGTGGGTGGAAGCATTTCAACTACTGACAATCAAAGAAGGTAAACACAATAAAAATTTGTAGGTGTCATTTGTTTATTGAATAATAGAAATGAAACGGATTCAAGGACATGTTTAAATCTAAACACAGAAAAGCATGTGTAAATACCAACTCTTCACCTTTACACGATAAGATGTTTACATGCAGAGACCGATGGGCATGGACACACACAGATGTGAGAATGTAGACACAAACTGATTATCTCCCCAGACTAATACAGCTAGGACTTGTAGAGACCCAAGTTAGCCAATGAGCACGGGCATTGTGGTAGTTGGAATGAGAGCTGCCCTCCGAAGTCTCTGGCAGGTGAATGCTTAGCCTCTGCTTGGTGACACTGTTTGAAGAGGTTTATGTGGTCCAGCCTTGCTAGAGGAAGTATGTGAGATTAAAAGACCTCACACCACTTCCACTTTGCTCTCTCTGCTTTGTGCCCACTCAAGAGCAAGAGCCCAGCTGCTGGCTTACCGTGTTCCCCAACACAACAGACTATTATTCCCGGAACAGTAAACCAGATAAACTCTTCTCTATGCTGTCTTGGCCTTGGTGCTTTATCACAGTAAAAGAAAGGTAAATAACACAGACATGTTGCAACATGCATTTCCAGAGACCCCAAAAGTGTACCCAGAATGATACATGCAGAAAGATGTCCAAACAAAGCTAAGACAGACAGAGGTAGCTGTCATAACTGGCCAACCAAAATGAAGCAACATGAAGACACCCATAAATATAAAGGACTCTTGGGGACAACAGTGACTCTCTGGGAAGAAAAAAGAAAACTATGAGTAGGTACTCTAAGATGAGGGACTATAGACTTCAAGGCAAAGTCCTTTGCAGACTTAAGCTCCATCCAGAGCAACCTGAACATCTAATGCAAATCCATGCGTCCTCAGGGATTGCCCAAGAGAGCACCAGGCCCCTAGGCTAAACTCCCTATTCGCAGCTATGGGGGTGGAAGAGCACTAATGCTTAGCTCTGCTAAAGAAGCATGGGGGAGAGATGTTTCTCAGATACCTTCTTCTTTGGGGTGGTCATGGAGGTGCTCCCAACGAGACAGGCCATTGCAATTGCCATTGCTCTCCACCATAACTAGATGGTTAGGACCCTACTGTTGAAGACACCACATGCTTTGAGTGCAGGACATAGAGAGACCAATCTTGAACTGACCAGGAAGTTGTCTCCTTAACGAATAGCTTTCATAGTACTGGAAGGTGCTGGGAGAACACACATCTCTGGTCTTACCCCGTGCTGGAACCTCTTTGCTACATTGAAAACCAGAGGATGCAAAAGGCAGATTGAAGTTTAGATACCATTAACCTATCTCCTTTTTTCTTATAGAAGAATAAGATATGATAACAACAAATGAAAAAAATACTTGATATTTATTGGCTTTATGCATTAACTCACACATCATGACCAAGAGGTAGATGCAGTCAGTCCTTGGGTCCCTGTCACTCAGTTTGTCCATGAGGTCAGCTCCTTGAGGCAGCCAACAAAGAGGCTCTCAGGGAGACTGATAGAAATGCTCCCGGGATTGGAGTCTACCCAACTTAGGGTTACATTCTATGCTTTGACTATGCTCTTAGTCACTCAGCCAAGAGGGGAAACAGAAGTGGTCAAACAGAGTTTCTGAGTCCCCCACTAACTCACTCTGGAAGCCTGTCCTGAGACACTGCCCTTGCACATGTCTCTTCCAGGTGCCTGTGAGTACTGATCCCTCATTTGTGTTCCTGTGTCTCTCCCACGTAACTTCAGTTTCTGCCCTGGCATTCATGTTCCCGCAGAAATCAATAAGGACAAGTACATTTGATCTCTATTGAGCTCTCCAAGCTCTGTTCTCATTCTGACACTCCCAGTCTGACACCCTGTACAGATCATGAGAGCCTGCCTGAGCAATCAGGGCCCTTCTGAGTGCCAACTTCACTGAGAAACAGAGTCTCCAAATTACTCTTGTTCCCATGGAAACAAGGGAAGAGGAGAAGTGGGAGCCCAGGTCTAGCACAGGTGCAGGTTGGTAATAAGAAGGGTTGCGACCTGCCAAGCCCAAGCTAATCCCATTCCCTGCCTCTTCCTCCTCCAAAATCAACAAACAACTTGTCTTTCTGCTTCTTTCTCTGCCCTGTTTCCTCCCCATCAGGTCTCCAAATCCAGCATAGAAAGAGATAAGCAAAATGCCAGTCATTGGTGTTCCAAGCTCACCCATCATTACCTGCCTAAAGCTAGGGCACCACCATGAACGGTCCATCCATCAAAGCTTGCCAGTGTCCCCCTACCGCTCCTTTGAGGATCTAGCTGAGACCAACCTCAGCTAGTACCTAGTGTTCATGTCAGAATCTGCTGGAACCAAGTCCACAGGCAAATCCAAGAACCATCTGTTTTCACTCTCAAGGTCTCTCTTATCTTATATTAATGAGTCTATTAATATCCTCCCGGTGTCAAGTTCCATGCTAACTTCTATCTCACCTTACTGCTGGCTTAGGGGCAATCTCAGTGCTAACTTCTTCCTCCTCCCTCCTGAGTCTACTTGACACTGATCCTAATCTCAACACCCAGGGGGATCCCACAGTGAGCTGGGCCAGGCCATGAAGAGGAAAGAGAGTCAAATCCGGCTCCTTAATAACTGTGGGTAAGCTCAGTGAGGGCAATGATGCACCAACTCCATAATTACTGAAATGACACCGATGATATAAAGGTAACCTTCCTGGGACACAGGTTCATGAAAAGGCACCTGTCGTGGTTGTTAAGGAAGAATTCAGTGTGGGAGACACTAGGTTTCCTCTTCGCTTCTCCGTGCCCACTCTTAGCATCCCAAGGTTACATGTGCTGAACGTGTACCTAAATCTCTTCACCTTGATTTCCTAATTCTGCAATCCAGGCATCAGCTCACTTACCACGCCCACAAATATGACCTTTATTTTCCTCAGTGCTCTCTTTCCTCTGGTGGGGAAAGAAGTCTAGAGAGGGAAAGCTGAAAAGGTAGAATGTGATAGCTTTCGGCTTGCAGGATTTTCACATATGTGGCCCCACGCCACTCTCTGTGTGCCATTCTCAGTGAGTTCAGATGTAAATAGGAGACATTGTAAGCAACAGCAGCAATGAAGCCAGTAACCCTGTGGGCCTTTCCACAGATCTGGAAAGGAATACAGTGGGACTGAGTAAATTAGAACTTTTCTACCTATTGGAGTTGTTATCATTTCTCAGGACCTAGACAGGCCCTCCATCCTAGACTTCTCCACGTGTTCTGAGCATCAGGAGATAGCACGGGCCAAACCCAAGGCATATCCAGACCTGGGGACAGGTGTTGACTCCAAGACCCTCCTGGGATTTCAGTGTTCTTCTCCAGGGTACTCCCCAGTCATTCTTACCCCAAGAGCCACCACCCATTACCCCTGGGGTCTCTCCTTCCCAGTTCCTTAGGTTCAGGACCATTTTCATTGCAAGACTTCCCCAGTGTCTGGGGTAGTGGTGCAGGCCTCAGGAGGCAGAGACAGGTGGATCTCCCTGGTCTACATTCTGAGCTCCAGGCCAGGCAGGACTACATACTGAGATCTTACCTCAAACAAGAAAGAAAAATGGACCTTTAAATTCATAGGCATTCATCAAACTTCCAGCCAATGAATCACAAGATTCTTCTCTCAAAGGAACCCACACCCAAGGCTCTGATGGATTGGTAACATAAATGTTATGGAGGATTCAGATCTGGCTTCTTTCTACTGTCCTCTGTAACAAATAGCCCTGGAGCACTTCCTGCTTAAAGGTCTCAAATTCAGTCTACTCCCTCTTAATCTCTCTCGGGCCCTCCTCCTCTTTTATTGTTGGCTATATCCCAACCTAGGTGCATGATGGGGGTTGAGGGGGCCAGTCTGGAGGTGAATTGAGACAATTGCATAATCAGCACCAAAGGTCAGCCTTCTAACTCAGGATGAATAAAAGCAAGCTAGTTCAGCCACCACTGCCTGTCTGTCGCCCTCATTGCAACCATGCTGGCCTCTGGACTGCTCCTGGTGACTGTGGTGGTCTTTCTCAGCGTCATGGTTTTAATGTCTGTCTGGAAGCAGAGGAAGCTGGCAGGGAAGCTGCCTCCGGGACCCACGCCACTTCCCTTCATTGGAAACTACCTTCAGCTGAACACGGAGCAGATGTATGACTCCCTCATGAAGGTGCTGTGCTGGGCATGCAGAGGGGTAGAACACAGGCAGGCTGGGAGGGATGCCCAATATTTATTGCAGCTTTGTGGTAGGGTATTGACCAGGAGGGAGTGTAATTTTAGGCCAGAGGAATTGTAAAGAATTAACCAGTTCCCAGACATGTGGCATCACATCTTGGGACAGCCAGTCTGATAGTGGTTCAAACTCTAGAGGAATAAATTCCAGGCAGCATCAAGGTTTTGGCCACCCCCTCTAACCCTCTCACCTATCTCCATCAGATCAGCGAACGCTATGGTCCTGTGTTCACCATCCACCTGGGGCCTCGCAGAATCGTGGTGCTCTGTGGGCAGGAGGCAGTCAAGGAGGCTCTAGTGGACCAAGCTGAGGAATTCAGTGGGCGGGGCGAGCAGGCCACCTTTGACTGGCTCTTCAAAGGCTATGGTGAGGGGACCCAGATGGGGACTGTAGCAGGGGACACTTGAGGGCATCCATTTCCCATCCTTCTCTCTTCCACCTCCTCCAGGCTGTCTTCTCCAGGGCATCACTGCCTCCTGCTGGGTCATGTCTGAGGCTTGACTCTCTGCCTGTATCCCAATTCCCACAGCAACCACTAGGCCTCCTCTTGCAACTTTGGGATTCCTCTGTCTGAATCCTGGTCCTGTAACCTGAGCCAAAGCTTCCTCCCAACCCAGCCTGGTCATTCTCAGCTTCTGTGAACAGGCAGGATGCTTTCTGTCCTCTCCCCACTTTCAGCTTCCACTGCCAGACATCACAGAACATGTGTTCCCAAGTTCTCTCTCCTTATTTCCCTCTCTTTTCTAGCTCAGCCATGCATCTTTCATAACTGTATCCACCCCCAGGTCTCCACAGTCTCCAGCCTCTGCCCTGTTTCTCTGTCACTGTCTTTTGCATCTGTCCTCCCTCTTCTTACTGTCCCATAACGTAGTTTCATGGTGCCTTCTTGTGTTCTGCATGAGCATTTCCAGCAATCCCTGTGCATCTTGCTCCGTCTGGCTCTCCTCTTCGGAGCCAGTGCTCGGGTGGTCAGTGGATAGCCACGCCTCTCTTCTCTGATGTCTCCTGGTTCCCTTCTCACTTGCCCAGGAGTAGCCTTTAGTAGTGGGGAGCGAGCCAAGCAGCTGAGGCGCTTCTCCATCGCTACCCTTCGGGACTTCGTTGTGGGCAAGGGTGGCATCGAGGATCGCATCCAAGAGGAGGCGGGCTTTCTCCACGAGGCATTCCTGAAGACAAACGGTAAGCTGACCACCTCAAGTTCTCACCAAGGGGAAGACAGCCTCGGGAAAGCAGCATCATGTCCCAGGATGGGAACCAGGCGGGGGAGTAAGTGTCCTGGACCCCCGCTGTGGCGTGGGGTCTGGGTTTTGGCTCAGTGCTGCAGTCAGTGCCTTTTTGAATTCTGTGATTAAAGCATCTGATGCTATCACACGGTGATGTTCTTGCCCCCCCCCCATTTCCAATGTCTCCCTCTTCTTCCTCGTCCTCACCTGCAGGGGCTACCATTGACCCCACCTTCTATCTGAGCCGAACAGTCTCCAATGTCATTAGCTCCATTGTCTTTGGGGACCGATTCGACTATGAGGACAAAGAGTTCTTGTCACTGCTGCGGATGATGCTGGGGAGCTTCCAGTTCACAGCCACGTCCATGGGGCAGGTACCCAGCCTTATCCGTGCCCTAATTTGCCCCCAAGTCCGGCTGTTAGCCTATTCCCAAACTACCAGCCTGCTCAAGCAGTGTCTTCAAGCTGGCCTAGCAGTTAGCGCCAGAACTGATGTCAATGCACAGTCAACAGCTGTGCATGAAATCAGCTGGTGGCAGTCTGTCTACCTGTGTGCCTCTCTGTGTGCTTCTCTCTGTGTCTCTCTCTATCTAAGTGAGTGTCTCTCTGTCTCTGTGTATATCTGTCTCACTGTCTCTCTCCGTGCGTCTGTCTCTCTGTCCTTTTGTCTCTCTCTCTCACACACATGCCACTCAGCTCTCTCCATCCACTGGACTATGCAGATGAGTGACACTCAGCCACGAAAATACCCAAACACCTGCACCTCTAACCAAACTGTTTACATAGAATGCCCCCCCCAAACACCCAAGTAAGGGTCTTCCTACACAGCTCATTCACGCACCTAAGTATGGCCATCTGCGAAGCCGTTTGAATAACAAGGCAGGCAACCCTGTGAATATCAGCACTACTTAAAATAGCATTTATTTTAATGTCTTGGACAAGCACATATTGTAATGTATTAAGCCTCTTCACCGCATACCTCCCTACCTTGCCTTTTCTCTTGCCCTCTCTGCCTGTTAGTCCTCTTTGTCCCCGAGGCAGTTTTACTTCTACTTCTAATTGACAAATACATGCATACATACATACACACCTGATTTAACACATCAGCACCACAGATGAAAGAACGCATGTGTGAGTTCTCTCTCTGTGCTGGTTAAATTCCCTAAATATGGTGCTTTCCAGTTGTACCCATTTTTCTGAAAATGCCATAACTTTGTTTTTAAGGGCTGAAAAACAATTCAGCATATATATATGAATATATATGACACCCTGTTTCTGGACACCTAGTTGGATTGCATAATTTAGCTGTTGTGACTACCCAGCACTGGTTTAATGTTGGAAAGCCTCTTAGAACTCACCAGTCCAAAGTCCATTAATAATGAACAGCTGCCTCCAGCTGAGGTCACCCAAAAGCTAAAACATCTACAGATGTAACTCCAACCTAGGTAGCATTCAGAAACCCCAAACCTGCATGTGTCCCCAAGTCCATGTCACTTGAAATCTTCAAGAGCAAGCCCTCACACTTAATCTGTAAGAGAGCTATGTCTAAGTCTCTGGACAGACAGCTGACACAAATGCCCCTTGCCTTAAGACAGACACCACAGCTGCTGGGTTTGGTCCAGTGACAGCCTTTCTGGGTTCTTTTTTCACTTCCCACCCTCAGCTCTATGAGATGTTTTCTTCCGTGATGAAGCACCTGCCAGGGCCACAGCAGCAGGCCTTTAAGGAGCTGCAGGGGCTGGAAGACTTCATAACCAAGAAGGTGGAGCAGAACCAGCGCACCCTGGATCCCAATTCCCCCCGGAACTTCATTGACTCCTTCCTCATCCGCATGCTAGAGGTGAACCCAGGAGCTAGGGAGCACGGGGAGAGGTAAAGTCAGGCAGGCTGGACTCGGACTTGGGGCAGGTACAGTGGACCACACAGCCCCCTCCATTACAATGCTCACATACCATTCAGCCTCACTGTTCCAGCTGCTCTGCCCTCATTCTCAGGAGGATAGACAAACTGGGGTACTAGGCAATATATGGGGCTGCTGTGTGCCAGGCACTGTGTTAACAGGTCAGTGATACCCACTCATGGCTGCTGTTTTACAAACAAGGAGCTTTTACAAAACAAGCAACCCAGCTGTAGCCCCCTCCTTAATCACCTCCCAATCCTACTCTCCCTTCCTCTTATCCTCCTATGCCCTTCCCACAGTCCACTGATAGGGGAGGTCCTCTTCCCTAGCCCATCAGGCCTCATCAAAACTGGCTGCATTGCTTACTCTGTGACCTGGTAAGGCTGACCCCCCAGGGGGGGAGATGATCAAAGAGCAGGCCACTGAGTTCATGTCACAGACAGTACCTGTTCCCTTTACTTGGAAACCGACTTAGAGACTGAGCTTCCATGGGCTACATCTGTGCAGGGATTCTAGGTTATCTCCATGCATGGTCTTTGGTTGGAGTATCATGTCAGAAAAAAACTCTGTGCCCAGATTTTTTGGTTCAGTTGCTCTCCTTGTGGAGCTCCTGTGACCTCCAGGTCTTCCTATCTCCCCCTTCTTTGATAAGATTCTCTGCACTCTGTCCTGACCTGAAACTTGCTGTATAGGCCAGGCCACTCTCAAGCCTGTGGTGGTCCTCCTGAGTCTGCTTTTTGAAGGCTGAGACAGAACTTTACGTAGTCTGACATGCAAAGAATTGAGGGATGAGATTCCTCTAGGAAATATTAAGGTTTATAATTAAGAAATAGAAACCTTTTACCTAAAATTCATTGTCTACGGGCTAGAGAGATGGCTCAGTAGTTAAGAGTACAGGGCTCTTCTCCCCTTATAGGGGTTCAAATGAAGCACACACGCAGCAGCTCACAACCATGCAATTCTAGTCTCAGTAGATCTGACTCCCTCTTCTGGCTTCTGTAGCTGAACACACATAGCGCTCTGACATAGATGCAGACAAAACACTTACACATGTAAAAATAATTCTTAAAAATCTGTGACTGTCTCACAAAAACGGTCTCTAGTTTTCACTGACTTACACTAGTATGATGTCTCTGTCATTGTTTCTAGAGTCTTTCTCTAGCCTTTTTTTCCTAAGTGTTTCTACCTTTTAAAAACTAGCAGATAAGCTGGTCATTGAAGAAGAGTGGACTGAATCATAAATGGCAGAAGGGTGTTTAGGGCACTGGAGCCCATCCAAAGGTCTGGAACTGGACAGAAGTTGACATAGCCAGGATTCACCTTCCTATCTTAGCTCTGGACCAAGGGAAAGTGAATTCAAGGTGGGGAGCAGAGCTACAAGGGCACCAAGGTGTAAGGAGTGGATCAGCCTTGAATACTTCCCACCCCCTGCAGGAGAAGAAGAACCCCAATACAGAGTTTTACATGAAAAACCTGGTGCTGACCACACTGAACATCTTTTTCGCGGGCACAGAGACAGTCAGCACAACCCTGCGATACGGCTTTCTGTTGCTCATGAAGCACCCGGATGTTGCGGGTAAGGCTGCAAGGGACAGGAAGTGGCTGGTGGGGTAGAATCTCAACTCTCATCTGCCACAGCGTTCCCTACTTCTCTCAAGAAACCAAACACTTAGATAACTGGCTCTGTAGAGTCAGAGACATGGCTGGTGGGCACCAGTCTCTAGTTGTTCAACCAACTGTTATGTTGCAAGCTGAACTTCAAAAAAGCCACTTCCCTGCCCTCCCCGCCCCCCATTGCTTCCTTAAATCTACTTTCTTTCAACTTCCATGTAATTCTGGTATGACCCTGTTAACAGGAAGCTCCTCCAACAAAGTCCATGGCTTGTATGTAGTGAAAATGATTGACAATGTCACACACTGTTTCATGGCCTCCATTTGCCTTCATGTTTTTGAACTCTCACCCCTACTATGAGGTTCTTGTACACCTCTAAATGTATCCTTCTTCTTCTCAGCCAAGGTCCATGAGGAGATTGACCGAGTGATTGGCAGGAACAGGCAGCCCAAGTATGAGGACCGCCTGAAGATGCCCTACACCGAGGCTGTCATCCATGAGATTCAGAGATGGGGAGACATGATCCCCATGGGCCTGGCACGCAGGGTCACAAAGGACACCAAGTTCCGGGATTTCCTCCTCCCCAAGGTGGTGACTCACCCAGCGCTCTTCTTGGACCTCCAGAACCTCCTCCTCGCCCCTCTCTTCCTTTCTCAGTGACTGGCTTTCGCTGCCACCACACACCTCTCCCCTCCTACTTAGAGACTCTTATATCTTGGCTTTCTCTCCAGAGTTTC